CTCTCTCTCTCTGTCTGTCTGTCTGACACACACAAACGTGGCCAACCTTGCATCTTCTACTATATTGCCTCTCTATGTTTTTTTTTTTTTTTTTTTGTTTTATGGATGGTTTGTGGGTGGAATGAGGGAAGAGAGTTTGGTGTTTTTTTAACACACACACAATGGCTGTGGAAACCCAGCTCTGTGATGGCCCACCTGAGATTGGGCTAGCATGTGATTCGCATGCCTTGTGTCGTGAGGCTTATGGAGGCTTAGTCCATTCACGTTTTTGTTTTCATGCATATGGTGACAGTCAACATTGCACTCATGTACGGCACCCTGACATGTCGTGTCCAATTTGCAGACAGGGGTTGGAATGGCGATGCCAACACTATTGAGGTTGCCGTGCCTCTGTGTTCCTATCATTTAGGAGCCACGTAGCCTGTGACATTTGTCTACGCCTGCCATCAGATGCAGCAACTGCGTCTGCAAGAATTGGATGTGGTGCTTCCACAGTCCACACCTGAACCAATCCTGTCCGGTCTGTAGGGGCGGCCATGTACCATAGCCAACGGCTGCTCCTCAACTCAAAATCTCCTGCAACCCAAACACTAACGGACCTCTCTTGTCATTCTAGAGTAGTCTGCTCCAGCGGCGAGTATTGAGAACCCTCAGAATTGCCATTCCTCTGTTCTGTCCTTTGTCGTTCCACTTCCGACCTCCACCCGTCTCGCTCCCACCTCTCGCTTCGTAGTAAAGTCCACTTCCCACCCCTTCCTTCCTCCCTCCCCTTGTGTACTAGTAAAAAATGCATACGAATGAGCATCATGCAGAGCACAGACAAAATATAAGCTGAAAAAAAAAGTAAGAAAAATGTACATGAGTATACTGTATACCCCCTTTTACTCTGCCTCTTGTCATAACGCGCAAGTGTGTCGTTAAGGTACATGGGGATGTCGGCAGCTAGCGCTCAACCACAATCAAAGAGGCCAGCCTTGTACGAGAGAGGCCGAGTAAAAGGGGAGCTGCAAGAACAAATAAAGGGGGTACCCTAAAGAAAGCTGAAGTAAAGATACTTAGGAAAAGGAAATAATGGCTCTATTGTGCTCCGCATTGCTTGTTATGGAGGTAAAACTGTGTCATTGTTGGATTGGCTCATTTCAAGTGTGCTTCATTGTCTGCAATAGAGGTGAAGTTGCTTTGATTTTGGATCTACTCATCTGGGTGGAGCAGGCACTGTTGTGATGAGAATCTAAAACACTGTGAACACACACATTTGTGTTACATTGACAGTGGACATTGTTCCCATCGCTGGTTTTCACATCCCTGGTTAACCACCGGGGACGGTCACCGATCTCCATCTTGGCGGGGTGATCTGACCAGACAGCGGTCGCACGCACCAGGGCTGAGCTACTCTGCTTCAACTAGGGTGCTCGGAGTGTCCCACCCATCACGGATTTGGACAAGCCCGTTGTATGGGTACTTTGGAAGCTAGGTGTGAACATGCTACTGCAGGCTTTCATCAGGGGGTTTGGCGTGGCCCCCAAACTAGACCCGGGTACCCCAAGTAGATTCTTTAGCATGCGCTTTTAGGTATGCCTTCTTGTAATGGTTGTGCACTCTGTGCTGTTCTTTTTCTGGATGAGACAGTGCGAGGCGGAGAAGCATGGCTGGATTCCCGGGCAGACCTCAGACAGTACAGAAGACCTCGCAAAAGCCTCAGATGTGAGTATGCAAGTTTTTTTTTTTTTTTTTTTTTTTTTTTTTTTAATGGCACATGATTGCCAGGCGTGGGGCTCGGTTTCACTTGTAGTCGTCAGTCATCATGTCCTCTTTTCTGTTTTCAGAAGGCTGTAGGCTCTCTACCCGACAGGGTTCGAACACTGGATCTGTTTCTCAATAGTTCTATGTGTGTACCACTGAGCCACCAGGACAAGGCAGTTCTATGTGATTTGACTGGCAGTGTGTTGTCCTGTTCTTTCTCATTAAAGGTCATTGTCTATGATTGCCACGCTAAGCACAGCCACAGACTCACAGAGTATCAAACAGAAAATTCAAGTAAATCGTCGAAAACATAGTAAGACTTCCAAGCCAACACGCCAAATTATTGAAATTAGCAAATTAGTAAAATTAGTAAATTACCTCTTACGCTAGGTTGTTTTACCGGACGTCCGGAACCTCCCTGACCGTCCGGGATGTCCGACCGGACGTCTGGTCGGACGTCTGGTCGGACGTCTAATCGGACAGGGGTTGTCCGACCTAGTGCAAAAAAAAAAAAAATAAAAAAAAAAAAATCATGTGGCTTCTACCTTGCATAAGGTGTATGCCACCAAAATTTTGGCTCATTTGAGCCAGTAGAAAAAAAGATAAAAATCTTCAAAGTTTCTAATCCCCGCCTATACCCCTCCTATACCCACCAAAACCCCCCCCTCCCACCCCAAATAGCACCCTATCACCAAATGCTCAGAAAATTCTGAATTTTTTTATGGGGGGTCTCTATGGCATGCGCAAGTCTTTTTTTTTTTTTTTTTTTTTTTTTTTAATGCCAAAAACCATCGGACGACTGGTAACAGTGTTTTTTTTTTAAAGATTTTCAATACCAATGTTTCCAGAAGCTACTCTTTTATTTCACCCCTTTCAGTTCCGCTCTTAGTGTGATTGCTATAATACATGCTTAACTACACTAAGGCAAAGTGATCTGAATTAGTTGCGTTGCTTGCTTTGCGGCATGCTGTCGGGTGTTTGAAAAGGTGTGGAAAAGGGAAAGAAAAAGAAGCTACGTTCAGCATCTACGAGATGTCTGAAATATGTATATGGCTAGTATAGTTTTGTCGATCATCAAGCTGAGCCCTGAAATTCAAAAAAGAAACTCAAAGAGGAGGATTCTAAAGGTTTATGGAGTATGTTTTTGAGAGGTTTATGGGGCTCGAAGCATTGGTCAAACAGGTTTGGGGACCGAAGGTTAACGGAGGCCGAAAATTTCAGCGTTTTTTGAGTGCTGTTTATAAGTTGGCCCTAAGCTACCAGCACAGGCAGCCCGTGCGGCCCGGCCGTGCAAGGACCAGGCAAGGTCCCAGCAAAAAAAAAGAAAAGTAAAAAAAACTATGTTATGTAGAAAAAGAAACTGAACTTCTGCCTCAGGGTCACATCCAAAATCGTTACCAATTTCAAAATAAAAAATAAATTAAAAAACATTTTTTTTTTTTTTAATTGTATTTTTTTTTGGCCCGGCCGGGCAAGTGGTCCTGGGCTACTCTGGTAGCCTACAGTTGGCCAACAAATCATGCTTCCACAGCCTTCCAGTGGTTTACGTGGGGTTACTTAACCCCATTAAACCACTGGGCGTGGTGTGTGGGGGCCTCAAAGCAGTGGTCAAACCAACGCCGTTGCTTTGTTCAATTGCCATCAAACAATCTGGGCAGCTGCTGATTATGTTTGCATCGCGCTGCCGGTTTCACTGGATGCATTATATTGTGATCTGTCGGGGACAAAAACAGGAGGCCAGGAATGTCTGCTGTACCAGACAAAAGGGCGCAGGCGATTGCAGCAAAAAGAGATCAGGTGGGGATGATAGGAACAAAGTTGGGTATGCTGGAGACTCAACTTGAGGCCCAGATGAAGCATGCGACAAATGAGGTATTTTTCCTTTTTCCCGTCCCTTTTTTTTTTTTTTTTTTTTTTTTTTTTTCAATTGAGGTACTTCTTAATGCACCTATTTTGTGGTTTATTCTGGCAACCTTCACAAGTCTGCGAATCACGTGCTGTCCTTCAGACGCCCTCGTGCATTTTGTTGAGCTCATAAGTTGAAGCCTTCTGCGTCAAGCTTGCTTGTGCAAGCTATGCTGCTGCTTCGACAGCTCCAATCTTAAAACGAGCATGCAGAAAACAATAGCTTTCTGAGAAATTCTGATGCATCTGTAGCCAGTATGGGTTGTATATCTTTTTGGCGCAGAGGCAAACCATAGCTTTTCAGACATATCTGTAGGCAGTAGTATGGGTTGTATGTCTTTTTGGTGCAGAGGTAATGGATACATATATTCCAGTAAGCCTGAGTAAGGTGGCCGACTCTTGCGTATTGCTATTGTACGGCGCCCTCTTGATTGCGGTATCAACCAGTCGATTATGCTCACTGTGTTGTGATGTCTTCGATTGATGCCTTCCCAAGTTTTCTCTATGGCAACGATGTTCGGTGTAGTGCGGTTTGTTGGAAAAGAGATAAGTGCTTCGCTCTAATCACTGTCATGCTTTGTCTATAACAATACACCATTCCATCTTGGATGTCAGCCATATTCTCTCTTTTATCCGTAGAATGGGGAGAGAAACGCATGTGTTTGAACCTTGGAAGTGTTTCTACCTGGCTGTCCTTTGTGAGCACTGGCAACAGGTTCTGTGAGCTTGTTTGGGTGCGGCACTGGCATACGGTTTTGCGAGTTTGTTAGGGTGCGACACTGGCAAAAGGTTTCGTGAGCTTGTTTGCGTGCGCCACTGGCAAAAGGTTTCGTGAGCTTGTTTGATGCGAGCTTTGCTGGACACAGTGTGGGCATACCACCTCCACCTTCTTGGTCTCTATTGAAGCACCTCCTTGTTTGGGAACGTTGACTACCTCCCTTTCTCCCTCCCCTTCTCCCTCCCCTTCTCCCTCCCTCTTCTCACTCTACATAGCCGTAGTGAGTTTTCAGTCGTAACTTGCAAGGCATATGATGAATGCCTGGGGCTTTCTACATTGAGCCACAGTATGCCCTTTGTTGAGATAACTCTTGGAATGTGCAACAGTCAGTGATGTATCACCTCTGTTATTTTCAGATCTTCCCCTTGAAATCTATTTTCAGAAATTCAGATCTTCCTCTTGAAATCTGACACATGTTGTGTTTCTGTCGCAGAGTTTCCTTGGGAAATTACCTGATGGAGGGCAGCGAATAAAGCAGAAAGTTGTGGAGATTTCGAATGAGATCGAGCGTCTCCGATGCGAAAAATCCAAACTGAACGATGAACTGCGGAGCCTGGACTCAGATTCATCCAGTGATAATACGCACTGGCGCTCTGCGACTTCCGTCTTTCCCAAGATCCCCATCATTGACGTTGACAAGCGACCTTCATCATCTGCCGCAGATGAACTGGTTTCTCGAATCGGCAATCTAAGCGTTCGTCGGTAGTGAGGGCTGCGATTTATCCAGTTGTGAGGGTGGGGACTCGGTGGAGCTTCGGAGTGCGCTCCTTCTGCGGTTACAGAAGACTTCGTTGGTGACGTTCCGGTGCATGGCGGTAGGGCTACCGTGCAGAGGCTTTGTTGTACAGGAACTCCGTTTGGTGATTGAACGGTAGCCTTGTCCATGATATGTTTTAAGGATTGGCATGTATATTCTTGCAAATGCGAATTGTTGAGATGAAGTACACCTGTTGTGCTCCGTTGCTGGTGACCCGCAAGACATTGGCAATTGTTATTATGTGATTCGATTCATTCACCACCACTACTGTATTCTCTCCGCTTGTATTGTGCACGAGGCGATGCACTGTTATTTAGCATCCGTTTTATTAATATTTTATTGTGAGCTGCAAACCGGGTACAGCATCTGTTACATCTTCTACGTGTTCCTCGTAGTTCCCAAGTTTTTTTTTTTTTTTTTTGAGTTCCCAAGTTTTCTGTTCTGGAGGATGTCCAATTCTCTGAGATGCAGTCTTTTCTGCAGTGGCCGTTGAAACAGTCTGTTTTTGTGGAAAGATTGTTGTTCTTTGTTCTTTTGTCAAGTGTATCTCTTGGATGAGAGTTCAGTGTTTTTGTTGAAAGATATTTGTTTCTTGTTTCATTGAGCGTGTTGTACTTATCTGTTAGGCTCATAACGATTGCGCTGTTCGCCCTACAGTTTACCTTAGTGTGGCTGAGATTGGGAGAGGCTCGGTTGTGCTTCAGCAGGCCGGGCTGTTGGACGGCTCGGCAGCACAAACCTTCGTGTCATTGAGATCTCTGTGGAGTGTCAAATGGGAAGGAAACACAGCTGGTGGAGAGGTTGTGCTTTGCATGTCATGTCACGTCCCTCTGGACCACCACTCGTCGTTCGCGGCCCTCTGGACTAAAGGGGGTCGTGTTGAATTTCAATCTCGTCGAGCGAAGAGAGCCTTTTTTTTCCGGATATCTGCGATGGTCTTCTCTGGATGCGAAAGGACAGTCTCTTTTTGTTTTTATGACGACGCTTAACGCCAGATTGAGATTATTGCTATGCTCGGTGGGATGGGGTGTCTGATTACTTGGTGGGAAAAGATGACTCGGGCCTGTCGAGATCTGTGCAGCGTAGCGTAGTAGAGTGGAAGGGAAGCAGAGCTGGCAGAGAGAGGAGGATGTGTGCCTCATGAGATGGCTCTTTGGATGTGAAAAGGGAGATTGTTGGTGTTTGTGGCAGTAAACAGAAGTCATTGCCTGTTTCTGTTTTCTATGGCTTTATGTTCCAATCATTGAAGGGTTTTTTTGCCCATGCAGTGGTTCCCTCTTGTAGATGCTTTTTTCTTTCTGGCGCGCGTGTGGTCTGGGGCGGTGGGGAGGCATTTTTTCGCCCGTGTAGGAAATGACAGGTTGAGATACAGCAGATGCTTTCCTCAACTTCTCCTTTTTTTTTTTTTTTTTTTTTTTTAATAAGTCGAGGGTTTGACTCGCTTACAGCCTTGTGATATCATCTTTGAACTGACCAGCTTCAAGGAAACTCGGAATTGTTTTCACTCATTTGATTCCACTTGGAATTCGAACTTGTCATTTATATTCTGATTGGATTTACAGTCAAATCCTTTCACTTCAATTCGCTGAGTTGCACTCGTCGTTGTTGCAGAGTGTGGAAGGAAGTGTGCACGATCCTTGTGGCAGTTGCACAGAAGGAGAGCCAAGCAACGGAGGACGTCTTTTTTTTCTTTTTTCTTTTTTTTGGTCCTTGTGCAAAGCCCCTCTATCCCAGTGGTGGTAAGAGAACCACCGGGATTGAGGCTCTTTGTCAGCGGGCGCGCTCCATCTTCCTCACACCGTGTCTGGATGCAGTTTCTTTCATTCCATGGTATCCATACATAGCTTAGCTCAGTTGGTACACCCGTGAACTATTAAAGTAAGCTTGTGAGCTCCAATCCAGATGGAACTAGTCGAAATACCTGAGGCTGGTCAGTTCCACGATGATATCTCAAGGCCGTTGCACTTTTTAACTAACAAAAGAGCCTATGATAAGTTGATAACAGTCTAGCTGTGCTATGCTTGTACTATCTGACAGTGTAGGCAGTGGTTTTCGAGGATGCAAGACAATGTTTATGTTTTTTTTCTGAGAGAAAGGAAGGACTTGATGAGTGCGGACTCTTTTTCTTTTTGTTGAAATTTTTCAATTTTTTTTGTTTTTTTTTTGTTTTTGTTTGAAACGCCAGAGCAGTGTTACTACCGGGGGGGGGNGGGGGGGTTGATATGAGCAGCCTCCCCTAGTGCACGTTCCGGGTTCGCGCTCTCTTAGCTGAGGGGTTGAACTTATTCTGACCTCTGACTCACCTAATACTCCTATGTCGGTGAGGCATGTCCACATTGCAGGTGGGCTTGTGGTCTGAGCGCAACATCTGGTCCAAGTTCCATGTATGTTTGAAGAGCTTTAATAAGAAACTAGGGTGTTCGAAATGTTTGCTCCTGTCGTTAGGAGTATCTATTGTCTTTGTTTACTTGAGATTATTACGACTTAACTTTTTTTTTTTTTTTTTTTTTTTAATAACCAAGGTGTTACAAGTAATCGCGGCCCTGAATTATTTGGGAATTGGTTGTTACTGCTGGCATCATAAGTGAAACTGGCTAATGGTGCCAGCCAGGATAACTCCGGGTCGAATTGTGAGATCCGCCGCCTCGAACTTCAATCTATTACTGACATTCTGCTTCGGTTAAAAAAAAGAAAAAAAGAAGGGGGTTACAAACTTACGAGTCATGACTAATATTGTCATTAAGAAATATTAACTTATTAAGTTATTATTCCTTTATTGTTTATATCTTCTGTACGGTAACAATCGTGATGATGACGATGATGCTGAGTATCGTTGTGGGGAAAAATACCCGGAAAAGTTTTTTTTTTGTTTTGTTTTTTTCGCTGTTGAGTTCGTAGCGCTTCTCTGTGCGGCGGTTATGATCAACGTGTGCGATGATGATGGTGATGAGTCTGGTGACGATGATGATGGGCATTATTACGAGGGACAATATCCCTCTGAAGGTGTGCATTTCGAGCCTCTGTTGTCCGATTCAGAACGCCCCTGTGCGCCAAGCTTCGCCGAGAAGCCAGCGTGGCCTAGCTTTCCCGCCCGTGGCGCTTTTGTTTCATTTTGGCTGGCGCCGCCAGGCCACAGCCAATTTGGTGTGCTTTGCCTGAGCCTCCGATTTTTTTGGATAGAGTGTCTCGTTGTTCTCTCGTTGCCTTGGGGCCATGCACCGGTGGATTGAGGTGATTCGACAAGCGTGCTGGTGCGTGTCTGCACGACTATTTGCACCATCTAGGCCTGTTCTGTATTATATTGCAAATGGTTCCCGGTCTTGTCGTTTGGGACTGAAAGATTGCCAAAGTTCTGGATTATATTGCAAATGACTGCCGGTCTTGTCGTTTGGGACTGAAAGATTGCCAAAGTTCTGGATTATATTACAAATGGCTGCCGGTCTTGTCGTGGACAAGATGCCTTGCAAGAGGAGCACAAGTGCTTCTGACTTTCAGTCAAAATTTTCGCTTGAAGATTGAAATTGAACTCTTTTAGCTTGCCGCATAGAGCTCACAGGTTCGGGGAAAGGTGCTCTCACATACGCTACTTCTCTCTCCATGCTCTAACATACGCTACTTCTCTCTCCATGCTCTTAACATACACTACTTCCCGCAAGGGTGGTTTAAAATGTTTTTTGAGGGGCTGACTCGGAAGGGGTTTAAAGGGGGGGGTGTCCCTTAGTCTGATTCTGCTGTTTTTTATTTTTATTCTTGATTCCGTGAGAAATTCTGATATGAGTCCTTCGGGACAGCCGTTAAAATTGGAACGATACAGAGAAAGAAGATTAGCATGGCCCCTGCCTGAGCAAGGATGACAAGCGTAAATCGAGAAATGGTCCGAATTATAATATTAAAAAAAATAATAAAAAAAATTGATATGACCCTCAGGCAAATGTCGATTGTACAGACCATATTTTGTTTGCTGGAATCTTTTGATTTTTTTTTCTTATTGTGGGCACTGGGGCCGCCCGGAACCCTCCCTGGGGTTCACGGGCACCCAGCTGTGTATCCGGGCACAAGAGGGTTGCATGGGCCACCGGACAATACGGGTCGCGGCACTATGGGCCCTGCGGACCCTGTGGAACGAGCGATGCAGACAGGGAGCAGCTCCACCGCTCCAAGTCTATCGAGGGAGAGTGCTGGAAAGCATTAGGCTCTCGCCCTAGTGGCCGATCTCCGGAGGAGCAGCCGCACAGAGGAAGAAGGGAAACGTGCGTTCTGGGAAAGATGGAGCCCGTACCCGCAGCTGATTAATCGAGACCCCCAGACGGGCCCAATGGACTTGGGCCCGGTTTTAATGCGCAGAGTGCCAAGACCCCAGGACGACGAAGACTGATCTCAACCGATGTATACCATAGTATGAAGGGATGGGTGGGCCTTTCCCTGATAGGAGGGGGGGCAGGGGTACTTTAATGGCTAAGCAGGGGGTACGTGCGGGGGTAAGAGAGTTAAATGGGGCCATGGAAAAGCTGGGCTAAGAAAATGCTGGGGACAGATCGTGTTACTCGGGTACACACATGTACCAAAGGATTTATGGTGGTGGGGGCCAATGTTGGGTATAGATAGGCTGAAAACCCTTAGTATAGGCAGAAGGGACCAAGGCCGAGGAGTAGGGAGTAAAGGAAGGAAACCGGGAAGGTGGGAGATGTAGGACAGGTAAGACCCTAGTATGTAGGGATGCCGATGTAATGGGGATACAAGGCAGAGGAAACGTGGGGCCCAGGTAGACCTTGTGGGAACGAGTGGAGCCTTAGGGGATGACAGGGCATCCCTCCCCCCAGTGCCTTGACACCTTGGGGTTTATCCTGCTGCAGTGTGCCTGTGTGCTGCTAGCGAGCTTCCCGACTTGCTGAAAGATAACCCCCAAGGAAAGACCGATGTGTGGGAGGGAGTGGATGGCGCTCTAGCAGCCCCCCCTCCTTGAACAGGCGGCTCGGGCGGGAAGTTAAAAAAAAAGAAAAAAAATTCCAACCGCCATTCTGTTAGCGGGAGTGATATGAGCATCACCCAGTAGCAGATCTGTTCCCGGTGTTCCCGGTCACTCCAATCGATTCGTGCAGGGCAGCACCTGCTGGAAATCGGGTCTAGCGTCCCGTCCACATTCCAGTTCAGCCCCAACCTGGGGGAATCACCCGGTCTTGGCTAAGAAGAAAGGTATGGAAAACCAGACTGGTTGTTCATGTAAAAACAGTAAAAACAGTAAAATGTACTAAATAGTAAAAACAGTAAAATGTACTAAATAGTAAAAACAGTAAAATGTAC